TTTTTTTTTTTTCTTTAAAATAAATAAGATATTTAATATTTAGATTTTTGTTTATATACTGCACCCATTTCTTCTGTTAATCTCTTATCACCTATGTTATCATCTTTAAATAATTTATTCTTGTATTTAAATTTTCAAAGAATTTTATATTACAAAACAGGTATTAATTTATGTAGCGAAGACCAGTTCATTGAAATCTCATTTTAAATATATTTAAAGTTAAACAATTTTAGAAAACATATTTTAAATTATATTTTGTATTTCATAATATTTTATTCAAGCTTCTCTATTTATTTATATTTTTCTATATAAAATAACTTTAAAACTATTATATTTGATAAAAAAAATAAGGTCTAATCACGGAAGTCTCTGTTTACGTAGACTCGTGTCAATTTCTTCGTATTTTAAGAGTGCGATCATTTTTTTTTAAATTGAGTCAATAATATTTTTGCAATTAATTACTATAATTATTATATACGATAGTAACTTTCTTGCCTAATGGCCTGAGATATCATTTAATAATCACCTGGTAAGAGGCAATGACGTGGATTTATTTGATTTTAAGTTTAAAATAAAACAACTTCCCTTTAACCCCGTCAATGACTCCGTTGCCGAACACGAAGGCTCCAGCACCTTTGAGCTCTTTCACGGCGGCGATGGCACTTGCTTCCATCCGCTCCCGCCCACCATGTTGGAATTCCTCCTCGGCTCAGGCTTCGACCGCCTACTCGAACAGTTCGCACAAATCGAGATGAACGGTGTGCCGCCGCCACGAGTTAAAGGGGTGTTAAATATGCAAACATATTTACCTGCTGTTAATGCAATCAATCGTCGTATCTGGGTTCAGACCATGATGGAGGTATGTGCATATGAGTGCTCAAAAGTTTCGGTTTTGATTCTTGGGTTTTGCCTAATTTCAAAAATTATGTTTCTGGGTTCAAACAAATATACCTTGAATCTCATTACTGTAAAAATCAATAATTTTCCCTTAAAATTCATTGATTTTGGATGATACCGTGTGAAGGATGTATCGAAGAATGGGGTTCTAGTAATGTTGATGAATTGCGTTTTCACCTCTTTTCCGTTTCTCACCTTTTTCTTCTCGGTTTCGTTGTCCTTTTCTTTTCCAATGAATTGCGTGGATCAAGCAAGGTCAAGATCGGAATCAACGATACACCATCTTCATCCTCTATTCTCCCTTCTCTTCCTTCATATCTGTTCAACATTTTTTCAACTGTTTCATTTTCGTTTTTCTTTTTGATATTTATTTATTTGAAATGTAACAGGATTTGAAAGAACGTAACCGCTACGCAGATCTGAGGCCAAAGATTCTTAGCGTTCAAAATTCAAATGCCCCATTGGGTATCTCTAATTTTTCGAGTTTTTGAGATTCTTAGCGAAAGAGCATGTCCGGGCAGGCCAAGCCATAAACATGGAGAAGGTGGGGTTTTCGAAAGCAAAAGCCGATATGGCCGTGGCAAGAAAACGGGCCCGGTTTCGATGGATCACGTGCTTCTTGCCTTGCGTAGACCAAAGACGAGAGGTATCTTGGAATTCAGAGTCTCTTCGATTTCTTCGATGCTGCCAATGATGGGTACTTGGACTATGCTCACATTGAGTCTGGTTTGTCTGCACTGCAGATTCCCCCTGAGTATAAGTATGCGAAGGAGTTTTTCAAGGTTTGCGATGCTGATAGGGATGGTAGGATTGATTACCATGATTTCAGGCGTTACATGGATGACAAGCAGTTGGAGCTTTATCGCATATTTCAGGCCATTGACAAGGAGTTGGAGCTTATTGAAGGAAATTCTTGACGGAGAACGATTACGGGGTTAAGGGGAGCGGATCTCAGCTTATTTTATTTTAAACTTAAAATCAAATAAATCCACATCATTACCTCTTGTTGGACCACCTAGTTATTAAATGATACTGAGCATATCACGGGCAATAAACTTAACGCGCTTTTACAAAAAAAAATTCAATTGAACACTTACACGAATACGTAGAAATAAGAACCTGCGAAATTATTAAACCAAAATTTAACAACTAATTAATATAATGGCTATTTGTCATTACTGGATGTCTTATGTTCACCATACACAATCGCAGAACTTATTTATCAATTTTTAATAGTTATAATTTAATTTACTATTTAAAGAAAATGTCTAGTGTTTTTTTTTTCAAATTTTTTAAATTGAAAAAAATAACCCAAATTTTCTTTAATAATTTTATTTTATTTTCTCATCTTTAACAGGAGAGTGTCCTTAAAAACTAAACTTTAAAGGGAGAAATTTATTAAAAAAAGGAAAATACTTTATGCTCAAGTCAACTGGCCGCTTGGTGGTTAAGGATGAGGATTAGTCAAAGTCATATTACCTTATTTCCCATAATCAATCTTTCAGAGAAGCATCTTGTGAAGGAAAGGCCATCATTAGTTCAAGGTAAAGCCTCTGAATTAACACCTTCATATATCTTTCTTCTGTATAAAGTAAATGTTCTGTAAATTGTTAGAGGTGATACACATGTATGTCTAGGTTTTCACTTCAGAAAGTTGAAGTTTCCTTTTCTTCTCAGTGTCATTAATTACTAGTGACAGGATACTTGGTCATTTACTGTGTCGATTATTATGTTTAATGTTTGGTTTATTAAGGCCAAAATGGGTTCTTCCTTTTATGTCACATTACTTTCTATGGCTTACTTAACTTGTTTTCACTTTTAACACATTTTAGTATCATTTGAAAGAAAATGGCAAAACAAAACAAGGAATGGGTTGTGGGAATCGACCTTGGCACAACATATTCATGTGTTGCTGTATGGCTAGAAGAACACTGTCGAGTGGAGATCATTCACAATGACCAGGGCAATAGAACTACGCCTTCTTGTGTGGCTTTCACAGAGAATCAAAGATTGATTGGTGATGCTGCTAAGAATCAGGCTGCCATAAACCCAACCAACACTCTCTTTGGTAAAAAAATGTTTTTTTTATTGCGTGTGAATTCGTTTAAATGTTTACGCTAGCTGTTTGTGTTGGTTTTTAGGTGCCAAATGATAGCTTAACATTCGTCGTTTATTTATACTTTCCTCCAGTTTTCTAATTTGTTCTATAACTTTAAATTAGTAAGTATCATTCCACAAGACTACTTTGACTTACAACAATTTTGCAGATGTGAAAAGGTTAATCGGCAGAAGATATAGTGATCCCATTATTCAGGACGATCTAAAGTTGTGGCCATTTAAGGTCATTGCTGATTCTGATGAAAAACCCATGATGGTTGTTTCATACAAGGGTCAGGAGAAACAAATCTCAGCTGAAGAAATCTCATCTATGGTCCTTACAAAGATGCGGGAGATTGCAGAAGCGTACTTGGAATCAGAGGTTAAGAATGTTGTGGTTACCGTGCCTGCTTATTTTAATGATTCTCAACGACAAGCAACGAAAGATGCTGGTACCATTGCTGGCCTCAATGTTATGCGGATAATCAATGAGCCCACGGCTGCTGCTCTGGCATATGGCCTCGACAAGAGAGCTAATTGCGTCGGAGAGCGGAATATTTTCATTTTTGATCTTGGTGGTGGAACATTTGATGTGTCTCTGCTAACAATCAAAGGTGATGTCTTTGAAGTGAAGGCCACTGCTGGTGACACACACCTTGGAGGAGAGGACATGGATAACAGAATGGTGAAGTACTTTGTTGAGGAG